TGCCAAAAGGCCCTCGAGACCATGTGGAACTTTGTTCTCCCCTACCTCTTCAACCCCGACAAGCTCAACTTGGGCGCCAAGCTGGCCTTCATCTTCGGAGGCTTTTCTGTCATCTCATTAGTACACCTGTGGTTCAATTTGCCCGAGACTGCCGGAAGGACTTACGAGGAGCTGGACGAGATGTTCATGAAGGGTGTTCCCGCGCGCCAGTTCAAGGGATACACCCCGGAGACTACTGTCAGGGGCGAGGCCGTCAAGACGGCCCTCGACAAGGAGCAGGAGTTGTAAAATCATTGTAAAGTTGGACTATCATAGATACCCCTGTCGTTGATCAAAATGGCCGCAATACGAGTCGAGTTGCACCTAGATGCTCTATGGGTGAATAAGTGGAGAACAAAGCCCGACGTGAGCTTGGGAATGTGTTGATTAGTGGCCTGGTAATTATAGTATGGCGAGTGTGTGAGGGCGAAACAGTGTACCGAATGTCAGAATTATGGCTGCTGTCAGACGGTAAGAAAGGAGATGGCTTCATGCGCCAGCCAAAGTCCCATTAATGACAACTTGCGAAGCACATTATTTGGTCGGCCCGGGTTGCTGTGCCGTAGCCTGTGGCGCACTCTGAAAGACCTTTGGGGGTGTCGATCAATCATTTCATCGACGCGTCTCGTTAGCGGCTTGTTGCTGTCATTACTACCCCTGCACAGAATCCTGCGTGTCACGCACAAACCCCCAGAAGGGCGATCTGATTGGGTTTTCTTGTTCTCAATGCCAGATTCCGAGGAGGAATGTTATCCGGAAGGGGAGTATGGCAAATGGGAGTTTCATCGTCCGCGAAGGATTCCTCCGATACACCGCGCTTGCAGCCACTTCACGCGGTGGCTGCTGTCGCTAGTGCTGACGAACGCGCGCCCGCAATCTCCTTGTCTTAAAATCTCACCTGTCCGTACGTTTCCGCGCTGCCATATATGTCTCATTAGAAACAAGCTTCATGTCAATTGCTTCATCAGCCTTCGAGATTTCCTTCGTGTCCCATCGTTCGCAACATTCTTCAAAGCTGTGATGGACAAGATCCAAGGAGACCCACCGACAGTAGCCGTCATCGGCGCTGGTGAGAATTGAGACACCAACTCTGGACTTCCGCTGGCTCGTCTGCTGATGCTGGAACTTAGGCTCGACTGGCATTTCGATGCTCAAGACCTTGCGTGAAGATGGGTTCAACGCGACCTTGTTCGAACGAAGGAGTCGGGTGGGAGGTTTGTGGTCATACACCGACGACAAGAGCATGACGACAGCTCTTCCAAGTGAGTCTCTTAACCAGGAGCCACTCATCAGTTCTTATCTGAAACAAGATTCTAGCGACAACCGCAAACATCAGCAAGTACACGTGCGGGTTCACAGACTTTCCTATGCCAGACAGTAGGTACCAAATTGTTCGCACCTTTTCAAAGCTAACACTGGGGCAGAATATCCCCCGTTCTTATCGCAAGGACAGTTTGAGGAATACATGGAGTCGTACGCCGAGAACTTTGGCCTATATGAACACCTCGTCTTCAATGCACGAGTTGACCAGGTCGTGCGCAACAGAGATGGGTCAAAATGGCAAGTGGAGATGGTTAGATCCGGTGCGCCTGAAACGAAAGAGTTCGACAAAGTTGTCTTCTGTCATGGGTATCAGACAAAGAAAAAGATGCCAATCTACGAGGGTCAAGCCCAGTTTGAAGGCACTATCATACACTCGCAGCAGTTTCGCAAGTATGTTGGTCTCCTCCTCATACACAAGATCTTCCACTTAGGCTCTTTACTTACATGAGACGTCTAGACCATCTGATTTCAAGGGACAAAAGGTTGTCCTCGTTGGGCTCAGCGCCACTCTGAGCGATGTCCTTTCGGTCATTGTGGATCAAACCAACCAGGTCTTTCTTTCACACCGAGCCGGCGCCTGGATCATAAGCAGATGGCGAAACAATCTTCCAACCGACCTCCTCGTTACGCGCTGGCGTAGACAGGTGTCACTGTTCATTCAAAGCAAGTTCCCAAATCTCACCAATAAGCTTGCTCAACTTGCGACTGGCCTTCTGATGAGACAGTACGGAAAGATTGATCCATCTTTCAGACTACTTGATGATGTTGCGCCACTCAGCTTGCATCTGGCAGGGTGCATGGACACTGTCCTAGAGCTTCTCCGAGAAGGCAAGGTCACATCTATGCATGGCATCAAGAGGTTCACCGGCCCGAAGTCAATCGAGTTCGAGGACGGCACTATTCTAGATGATGTCGATTCAGTCATCCTATGCACCGGATACAAGGCTGACTTTGATCCGATTCCCTTTTTGGAGACGAGCAAACCCGAGACCGACCTCGCGGGCAACGCTTACGGCGGCCCACCCCTGCAGCGCCTCTACATGAACATTTTTCCGCCAGCTCATTGGGATAGTATTGCTGTTCTCGCATACTCTGCCTTTGGAAAAAACAATGGATTCTCCTTCTCAGATGTAACGTCTATGGCCATCAGTAATGTCTGGCGGGGTGTTAGCTCGGATATGATCCCCCAAAGAGCTGAGATTGACCGTGCAATTGACAAACATCACCAGTGGGTAGCAGGCCGCTGGTTCAAAGAGCCCAGAACCGACACTTCTGCAGTCAAACAATGGGAATTTCAGGGTTTCCTTCACAAAGCCGCCGGAACTGGCATGGAGAATCTGGGCTGGGGCTGGCGGGGCTGGGTAAGCTGGTTCAAGGACCCTTACATGTGTTATCTGATCAATCATGGCGTTGAGACAGCACATGCGTTCAGGTACTTTGAAACAGGGAAACGGAGGACTTGGGATGGAGCACGGGATGCTATCATCCATATCAATAAGATCGTCAAACAGCTCAAGGCCAGCAGGAAGTAACTTATTTGGCGTGGGAAGAATGGTAGGATTGAGCTCGATTGATTTCCCAAGTTTCGACTCTTGTCTCAGACGCTACTGCTTGACCCTATTGTTTCCCAACCCACGCCCTCCTGTCCGTGTCATTGCATTGCCAACTAGTTCTTCGTGACTTCAGCTGTTCGATCACTTCATGATCATAGTGCCATCTTGTTGCAAGAGGCTGAAAGGCCAGAACGTAGCAAGTAGTTACGTCAGTACAGTCATGACAGCTAACAATTTGCAGAATATGGCTCTTTATCACTTTTTCGCGTCTCTCCACGGAGCCGAAGGCTGACACAGTCACCCCGGACTTAGCCCCGCAAACTCCGGTCGTCTCCGGGCCCCGCACGGCCCCTACCGATCGGTAGTAAGACCGAAGGATTTATTCGGCGAAGAAGAATGCCGGGCTATGCCACCGATCGTTATCCCCGATGTTATGTGTGACTGGGGGCCCGATGAATCCCCTTGAAACTCTGTTTCTCATGTTACATTGTCGTACCGAAACCGATCAACATACACGCTACGTCTTTATCTCGCATGATCCCCGCACCTGGGCTGCATGACGGCTTCAATGGTCGCTTCACCTTTGTGACCCAACCGCGGAATGTTGCTAAAATCCGGCAGGTATTTCCGCGCATTAGTCAACCATGTCACCAAGCTAGACCGTCTACAGCCGGAACCCCTCACTGGACATCATTATAAAACAGTTAAGAGCTATCGCAACACCGAAATCATTGGAAAGAAACACCAGTCTGTTCAAGAAAACAACTACCGACGAAGCAACCAACTCAATCAATTGCACAGATCACAACCGTCACCATGTCGAACTTCCTCGCATCTGCTCCCGAGCCGGCCACCGAGCTGGGCAGAATGCGGGTTCTTTCTTCCACCGCCGGTCTTCGCGTCTCACCCCTGGCTCTCGGCGCTATGTCAATTGGTGAAGCCTGGGCGGAGGCAATGGGCGCGATGAACAAGGAGCAGTCTTTCAAGCTTCTGGACGCATACTATGAAGCAGGCGGCAACTTCATCGATACTGCAAACAACTACCAGGATGAGCAATCGGAAACCTGGATCGGCGACTGGATGGCCGAGAGAAGGAACCGTGACCGCATGATTATCGCTACCAAATATACTTCCGACTTCAGGAGCCATCTGTACGGCAAGGGGAACACGGCAAACTTCATGGGCAACCACCGTCGCAGCCTACATCTCAGCGTTGAGGCGTCTTTGAAGAAGCTCCAAACCGATTTCATCGATATTTTGTATGTGCACTGGTGGGACTACACGACTTCCATCAAGGAGATTATGGATTCCCTGCATATTCTGGTTGAGCAGGGCAAGGTACTCTATCTCGGTATCTCCGACACCCCTGCCTGGGTCGTCAGCGCAGCCAACACATATGCCGTCGATCACGGAAAAACACCTTTCAGTGTGTACCAGGGTCGTTGGAGCGTGATGCACCGGGACTTTGAGCGGGATATTCTGCCAATGGCTAGGATGTTTGGCATGGCCTTGTGCCCATGGGATGTCTTGGGCTCGGGCAAGTTCCAGACCAAGAAGGCGATCGAGGAGCGCAAGAAGAACGGCGAGGGCCTAAGATCGTTCGTCAGCACCGGCGAGCAAACAGAGTTGGAGATCAAGATCAGCGAGGCTTTGGCCAAGGTTGCCAGCGAGCACGGAACCGAGAGCGTGACGGCTATTGCGCTGGCTTACGTTCGTAGCAAGGCACCGAATGTGTTCCCAATTGTGGGCGGCAGGAAGGTTGAGCACTTGAAGCAGAACATTGAGGCTCTCAAGATCAAGCTCACCGACGAGCAGATTGCCTACTTGGAGAGCGTCAAGCCATTTGATGTTGGGTTCCCAAGCAACTTCCTAGGCGAGGACCCGAACATCACTGGTCACTCAGCGCGCCTGTCTCGTGCGGCGCAGATGTCATTCCCCAATGCGGGCAGACAAACAAGTGTTTGAGGTTTGGTGTCAGATCATTAGATAGGAGTGATATGATTATAGAAGAAATGCAACCGTCAAAAACTGAAATATTTCAGTGGATCATCAACAGCGTCCTTCATGATACTTTGTATTGCGTCCTCAACTTGCTCTATCACCACGTATACTAGTTTGCGGAAGTGCTTTGTCTCCTTGTTCCGCATACGGAGCGTAGACGACATAGTCACGATACTCGGGTGCGTCTCGATCAATTGTGCTCAGTTGAGTTCCAGTCATCGTGCTTGTTGTAGTCTTTTTAGAACCGATCCACGTCGAGTTGTTGCCCACCTCTCTGGCTGCTGCCGTGATACGGCTAAGCGTCTCTCGTATCTGGCGCGCAACGGAACGCCCTGTTCTAGGCTTGTTCCTTATCTGTTCGGACGTGTGCTCCGCGTGACATCCCAGTCTTGGCTTGACGCGTCGGACGAAAGCCGTCATACCCGGCATGCAGGCACATATGACACTCGCGTGCATCTCAACGAGCGACCAGATCGAGAGAGCTTTGAAGTCGACTTTCGACATATTAGAGCCACTCATCATCACGTTCTGGTGGATGATGATACTCACATGTTGGATTCTGTGTGTCCGCAAATTTTGTAACTGTAGCCAGTCTTATGCAACTTGATACGGTGACACTGAAGAGGAATGTGAGCCAGGTACTGAGGAATCGCTCCAACGTGGGGCAATACTTACAATAATCCGACTAAGAAGATGAGGCTCACGCCAATCTTTTTCCAGATTGTCCACGACACGGTAATGCTAAAGCGTCATGTCAGGCACCTTAAAAGGCGTTAAGAAGCTCCGACAAAACTTACAATTGTGTCACTGGTAGAATGACGAGGACGAGGTCAATGGCGATGTTGGTCCCTCCATTCACGAAAGTCATGATGTTGACTTTACCACACTGTCTGAGGTATGAGCGGCGGTTTTGGTGTAAGGGAAAGGGGAAATTGAATGGTGACAAAGGTCATACCTGCCCTGCATGTTGCCCATCCCACCGTGTCCAGTTGTATGAGACTGGACTACAGACAAAAATGATCGCGAGGATTTGACCAATCCCGTACATTGTAGTGATAGCAAGCAGACCATGACAGGCTTTTCGGAACCAGCTCTCTTGAAACAGCCTCAAGTAAAAGATGATCACTGAGAGTTTTGTAACTGCTACCACAAAGGAGTAGAACAATTCTTCGGCGAAGAAGATCTGAACACACAGTCAAACAGACATCTAGTATTGAAGCAAACTTTACTCACAAGCAGTATTTGGGTGATGTTATCTGGCGCAACTGTCCAGATATCTTGACCGAAACCCAGGCTTACGACTGCTCTCGGTGAGGACAGGCTAAATATCTGGTTCGGGGTGTATACTTACGCACTTGAGATCCAATGTCAGAAGCTACTAGTACGATCTATGGAAAGGCATTAGCTTGTGCGAACACAACCTGCCACGTTGATGAGCGAACCATAGACGCTAGAATTGCCCAGTCGTCCCACCCAAAAAGAAAAGCTGGATTCAAAGAAGGGATCTTGGATATTAAGCGGCTTGAAACCGCCATGAATGAGAGCGTGAAGATAGTCCACGTAATGGGAGGCTGGTCCAAACTGCGATTGAAAGGCGCTCCACATGAAGATTTGGAGTAGTTCTGAGCTTCTATTTGTGTATGCATCACGTTAGTAACGCATCTAGGAGGTGCCATGATACTAAGAAATGATTGAACTCACGTAATGATTCAACAACAGTGCAATTCTGCATCAAACATCCAGCTATCCCATCATTGAGCTGTTGATTCGTACATATACAGACGAAATCGGTGGGTTGACAGATGGACTTCGCTAGCTCTGCTGTTGTGCAGTTCATCTGCATAGCACTGCCTCAGCAACCTTCCTTCCTAATGGACTTGCATTGATAGTGGGTGGAACATACCGCGCAAGGTGATAGCATGCTCGACATCTGCTGTGATGCAACGCCAGCCGGGTCGGCTGTGGTCGGTAGTGATGTTGCATTCGATGGCACCGCGCTCAACACCATCGCGGAGGCCATCGTGGTCTGACAAGCCAACCCTGCCAGGATGTTTAGAATAGTTCGCGTCATATCGACCTAGCAGTCTGATGCTGCAACGACGAAGACGAAAGCAATTCGCGACCCCTGACGATTCAGCAGCTTGGAAACACGAAGCAAAGCCTACATGCCGAGGCCAGAGAAACAAAACAAAAAGTGGCGCCGTGAACTTTTTAAAATGAATGTGGCTTTTTGATGTTCGCGGCGTGCTTAGGCTGGAACTAAGACAGGCGAAACCAACAATGACGGAAAGCGGCTTCGGCAGGGGCTTCCACAGAGACTTGGCTGCATCCGGCGCACCTAGCCCCGGCCCGAGACGACCTGGAAGTCTGGCTGCCCACGCAGTCAAACTCAATAGATTTATTGTTTGCTTGACTCATGTAGCTAAGACGAACCCGAAATGAGCCCGCTAGAATTTCGAGCATTCTTTGATCGCGAAAAATGCCAAAGCGCGACATCGTAGGCACAAAGCTTGGAACCTTATTTCTCACGAGGAGCAAGATGATTGCCGAAAACAAGTTTAATTGATGTTGATACTGCAGGTGCTGCCCCAGATACCATCACGTTAGTGTTGCTGAGAATGATATCCCTGGTCCTTCGACTTTCTTTGTAGAGACTGACATAGAAGTTGTAACCGTCGCTCGGACGAGAATTCAAGAGCTTCAGATGAATTAGACTTTACGTTACCCCACTTGCACACAATGTCGTCTGCCCTATCCGTACGGTAGTTACAGCGAACCAAGCCTTCGTGCGGGTTGACCCTGAAAGTCTACGCAGCTGTCGAGTCTGTTCGTGTTTCCGTTGCAGGGTTGATGCAGGCTACGTGAGACCCAGAAAGCTTGATGCTGTGTTCCCGTGTGCAGTGATCTTCATACCCGGCGGCCTACGAGTTGTTATCGAAGCAGGGGCTACGGATACGCGTGTTTCCCACATGGTCAGAGCTGGACTCACCCCCCCTTGCCGAAAAGAACCCCGGCATGTCGCAGCGATTGACATCGGAAAAGCCAAGGCGCTTAAATAGCTGAGACTGACTCAGCAAGATTATTTGACAGTGAATCTTGCTAGGATCTGTGCAATCAACCCATGGATTAACACGGGATGTTATGGGGATGATTTGGGATGGAAGCCATTGTCTCCTGATTCTAAGTTATCCTAAGCCATGTGGAGGCTTGGCACACTTTCTACCCACACATGCTGAGGTTCGAGAATATTAGATATGAGGCTGAATGTGTATAGAGTGATGAGAAAGACAGGTTGGAAGTGTCATGTTGGCGGTAGGACCAATTTGAAGTCACAATGTTGAACAATGATCGTGTAAAGACTGAACTGCACAATGGGTGTGATCAACGATGTTGTACTGGATCGTCTGAAACAGCAGACGCACGTGCTAAACGGTCTCGACGAACAATTGAGCGGGGAATGCATGATGGAACCGGTTGCAACACGCAGTCGCAATATCTACGGAACCTTTCGTCTCGTCGCTTGCACGCCCATGACAAACATTGATTGGTATTAGATGTCAACTGAAAGGGATGTTTATGCACTAACTCTTGTCAAACAGCCCCTATTTTCTTGTTTTAATACTATAGTATTGTAATGCAATACATGTGGATAATCGAATTTTCACTAGTCCCTAGTTTGCATGATCTTTCTCTACTCGCTCCGCCAGCCCAGCTAGCATCGGCACTGTTGTCGCATGGTCGAATTTGCCCGCGGCCCAAATGATCATTCGTTTCACGGCCCCCTTAGAGGTGATACCGGCACGGAGCCGGAGATGTACCGTGGTTTCCACCCTGGATCCATCTGTGCCTTCGACGTTGGACTCATGGAGGAGAATCGCCCACGTGATCCTCGTACCATATCGAATGCTCGTGTAGACCAGCGAACGGGGAGGGTTGATGCTGACAACATTAAACGAATCATCTTTACTCAGGCCGTAGTCGGGGACTCTGTCGCCGATTTTTAACTCTTGGAATTCAGGTTTGATTGTACGTGCCCCAGCCCAGGATTTTGGTAGAACTCGTTCCCATCGCTTTGGGAGGTACCATCCGCCGCGCGACTTGCCGAGCTGAACGACCCAGGGAAATATTTGTTCGGCTGGAGCCTGCATGGTGCGGTACTCGTTGAACATCATGGGGGCATCCGGGATGATGTCATCCCCGGGATGTTTAGATTGGTTCACTTGGCTCATGTTGAAGGCCTTCGCGAAGCATCAGCGGGTGCGTTGAAGCGTTGTACGTGAGGAGTTTCTGACTTATCGATATGTTTCCTTGAAGTATGTACTGCAGTTGATAGTTCTTCTTAAGCAGATGTGGAGGCTGAACGTGCCGATGCACAGTTGCGGGGAAAGGGGACCTCGAAGTAATCCCGCGTCATTCGCTGCTTCTGCACGAGCCATAAGACGGCAACCAGTGAAGCAATACGGAATCTCCTAAATACCGAAAGCCGCGATGAACTTTAAGTCTAGCCTGGGATGATCCATGCTCAGACCCTTGCTGCTGAATATCGTGAAGCTGTCCAGTTGCGTTAGCTACGACCCAGTCGGCCTAGATGATTCTCTTTCACTAAAACTGAAGAGAGAGATTTATAAACATCCCTTCTTCTCTGCCTTACACGTTTCTGGAAATAATTGAATAGTTGTTCGTTTTGGTAAGCTATTGGAGCCCTCTCAAGGTTCCCTCGCCGAGTGATTACTCCTGTCCTTTTCAATATTGTTTCAACCAATCTGCTTAACGACTGATTGTGTGCCTCTTTTCGAGATTTGTTCTACCTCGACTGACATCCCGACCAAGTTGGATGCGTACAAGACTGAGTTAAAGAACACAAGAGCGGTGATATTCGGGTTCTTTTATTGCGGCGCAGTATGTTCAGACATGGATCTCAAGATAGATAGTATCACTCTTTTTTTTTTTTTTTGTTGACGGTAGGTAGTCATTTCAACGATGTTCTCTTTGAAGTTTTCCATAAAGACTTAAGGTCCATTAGTTGAAGTGCGTGTATCTCTTTGAAGTTGACTTCCTGACGGTCACTAGTTACAAACTGGGATCGGAAGGTCCGACAAATGTGGTCCGTAACAGTCTGTCATCCCTGAGATTCCCTTTTTCCACTAAGTCCCAGTATCCTGAGAGGTTTTGAAGACCGCCTGCTAGGTTAAGCGACCAGGCGCTTCGAAATTCAAGACCAGACCCCACTTCTTATCCAGCTGCGTCTCGTCGAAGTACCGTGTACACAAGTATGCCCAATGCCCGGTACCAGTTGCTAGCCGGCGGAAACCTCTGACATAACGTCCCACACCCACTTCTCGGCCACCCTAAAATGCCTCATCGAAAATACTCACCGCCATTTTCAAACTTGAATAGATTTACCAATTTTCACTCAATCATCACCATTCTTTCTGTGAAGCATAATAACTACCGAATGCGTCAGTATACAGAAGATGAAATTTCTCAGGCACTTGAGGCTATCGCAGCTGGTGCTAGCCTACGAAAAGCTTCATTACAGTATGGTGTTCCAAGAACAACTCTCCAATCTCGAATCCATGGCACCCAGGCAAGAGATATTGCCTTTTCTGATCTGCAAAGGCTTTCTCCAACCCAGGAAAGCCACCTGGCTGAATGGGTTCGAATTCAGGCTGCCCTAGGCCTGCCTCCAACCCATCAACAACTCAAGGACTTTGCTGAACGCATCCTACAGGTCCATGGAGACTCCCAGCCTCTTGGAAAGAACTGGGTGCAGTCTTTTATTAAGAGAAACCCATCTGTAAGGGTCCAAAGAAGCAGAGCAATCGATTCCCAGCGTATCAATGGAGCTTCAACTAATGTAATCAGGCAATAGTTTAAGCACCTCGCCATACCTGAGATCATAGCTATTAAGGCCTCTAATCGATACAATATGGATGAGACTGGTATTCTAGAAGGCAGAGGATCAAATGGGCTTGTTCTTGGATCATCAGAAACTCGTTCTATCCGCAAGAAACAGCCTGGATCGCATGCTTGGACATCTCTGATCGAGTGTATCTCTGCAACTGGCAAGGCACTGCCTCCACTTATTATATATAAGGGCAAGAATGTCCAGCAGCAGTGGTTTCCTCTAGATCTGACGCCATACGAATCCTGGAAGTTCACAGCTACAGAAAACGGGTGGACTTCAGACTCTACAGCTGTTAAGTGGTTAACAGAGGTCTTCATCCCTTCAACCCAGCCAGGGGACCCCTCAGAGGTCAGATTATTGATCTTAGATGGTCATAGAAGCCATGAGACTACTGCTTTTATGTATACATGCTTCAGGAACAAGATACACTTGCTGTTCTTGCCAGCACACACGTCACACGTCCTTCAGCCACTTGATCAGTCGGTTTTTGGGCCCCTCAAGGCAGCATACAAGAAGGAGCTTGGATTACTAGCTGAATGGGATGCTGGTACAGTTGTGGGCAAGAGAAATTTCGTTATATGCTATGGTAAGGCGCGTAAGGCAGCCCTGACAAGCAAGAACATCATCAGTGGCTGGAAATGGACTGGTTTGTGGCCTGTCAGTATGGCTAGACCCCTCATGAGCCCTCTGCTGCTTGAGAACACATCAACCCCTGCTAAACCAGCTGGTCAGGTCTGCAAAGGGCTCTCTGATGGTAAAACAAGCGAAAAGTGGGCGGTAGATACATCAGCAGTCCCTTGGTCAACCCCTCAGAAGAGGGATGAGCTTCAGGATCAGTTCAGCCTATTCAGCAAGCTGGATAACGATAAGCATACGCAGCGCCTGCTTTTTCGGAAGGTTCAGAAGGGCTTTGATGAGAAGGCATACCAACTGGCAGTAGCCCAACGAAAGATTGAGGCACTACAGGCAGAGGTTGATGCCAGTAGGGCCAGGAAACGGAAGAAGGTTAAGATGAGCCCAAATTCGAAGTTTGCCGATATTGAGGCTATTCGGAGGGCTCAAATCGAGGCGGGCGAACTTGAAAGTAGCACAGATGAATCCAGCGAGTCAGAAAACCCTAGTGACAGCGAAAGTTGCATCGTCGTGGCATCATAATACATATAAATTTTAGTTGAAGTTGATGTGTATAAATGTGAGGGCATCAAAAGTGAGTGGCCGAAATGTGGGGGTGGCCGAGAAGTGGGTGTGGGACGTTATTCACGTATATGCTCATTTGCCACCTCATCATCGGTCCAGGGAAGACGGGCCACAACATCCTCACACGCTGCATAATACTTCCTAATGAGACTGATAATTCTATGGACAGACTCATGAACCGAAATGTTTTCCGTGTTCATGAAAAGGAGAACCATGTTCTCAAGTTGACCGACATGCTGCGTTGCAGTCAGATAACCTGCGTCAATAAGATGGATTCACCATGCGCAGCCTGAAGGGTCAAACCTACAAATTACTTTTGCACACTCAGGATTTCATTAATCAAAATGGACAATCTCATACACTCCGTCGCAATTGTCTTCATTGCTTCATGGTATCTGGTGGAGTCTGGCAGCTCGAAATCCATCGCGAACTCGGTTTGAGTAATGGAAGGATAGACACCAATGTCGGCGATCCTACTTTCAAAATGATACCAAGGATCGGGTAAGTGCTCGTCCTGCCTCACCACTTGCTGCCAGGCTACACCTTCGACGTATTCGTGCAGCTCCCTCCGCATTCGCTCGATCGACATTGGGCCCATTTCCTGTCTCATGGCTGTGAGCACTTCGTACAGTACTGCTACAGTCCCTGGAGAGTCAACTGGCGGGGTGGAGCATGCTTTCGCAGGATCAGGGTGGAGGCAGTGTTCGACACATTGGAGTGTCAAATCACAAATGTGGCGTGTCCCGGCCGCATCGGTGTTGAGCTCGCCACCTGTGTCTATCTCGTCGTCAAACCAGAATATCTGAGGGCACAAATTTCTTTAGCTCATGCTCTTGCATTCGGCAGAACAAAGACCAGAACAAATGGACTCGGCGGTGTGACATACCCAGTACTCGTATTTTGTCAACGTCAATAACTTCTCCTTCTTGCATCTCGAGTAAAACACGCTTGCCATAATTGTGTAATTACCCTTCGTCCGATGTTTAAGTTCCTTTTCTTCGGCAATATTCACGCTGCTCGTGTACATGTTATTGAACCACCCTCTGAAGGCCCCAGGAAGGCGGCGAGAATGTCCAGCCTGGGTTGGAGGAGGGGGAGGGGATAAATTCAACTTGCCTCTTCAGCCACTGGTCAAGCTCCCCATTAATCTCGACCAAAATATCCTGGGCGTGAATTTCCTTTGGCCACGCAGGCATCAAGCTCATCATATTTACTACGTGGACCTCTCGTCCTACACATCGTCTTATGAGCCTGTCGCGTTCGTATGCCGAGGGGGTTGAGCCTGAAAGCTTGCATTTGGTCGCCTTTGAACGGCTCGTAACAGGTCGCGGAATATCATGCCCCGCGACGATCACTGGGCTGCTGTCGGATGACAAGTGTGATGGATTCAGCGCCATGATGGTGATTCGGACCGAAGTGGCTGGAGTAGGTGCAGAAACAACCACAAGAATAACCAAGAGGGCACATAAGTGACAACATGAGTGCGATATTGTGGAATATAAGTTATATTAAAATCATCGGGTGAAAATTTATCAGCATTACTTAGGTGATTCGGAAGCTGGAGATTGACATATCCATCGAGTGCCGAACGGCGTCAGCACTAGTGTGAGCGGAGTGACCGCGGATCGGGTTCTGTTTGGATCTACTTTCGCTGTTTTTAAAAAACTGTTATCAGGTCAAAAGTAGAGAGGACTGGAGATCGGCTGCATTGATGCTATTCAGCTGCCAATAATTATGCGGGGAGGTGGGTCGAATGATAGACAACACATTCACCTGTCCTAATTGATTTCGCCGTGATCAACTGATCCCCTTTGACTTGCTTACAATATTGATTCATATCTGTGATCGTGGTTTGTAGCATGCATCAACTACGTCATTAACCGAGGGTTTGGGGACTTCGGGATGACTACGAGAGTTGGACGGCATGTGATGCAAACATCCTGGACCACTGAATGCCACGGGGTTGGACATTCACCTACACGTATCCTAGTGACCTGTGTAATTAGACGTGGGCACTGGATGCCTTTTGGCTGATCTTTTGAAACTTTGAACATTCCTCGGTGCACCGAGGTAGTCACTAGAACGGACCAAGCATATTGATCGTCCACATGGAAGAAGTGAATACACTGCTGATAGTCTCATAGAGATTGGCATAAATTATAGGTCCCAGATATTCTACTAGAGTTTTGTTGTTTAGTCAGCGTCCAACGCACACAACCCCCTTATTTTAAAGCGATTAAATATCTTATACTCGCTGTTGTTATCACTGCTATCGTCGTAATCTATCGTCATCGTCCATCGTCCATCGTCCATCGTCTATCGTCATCGTCTGTCGTCGTCGTCTATCGTCTTTGTCCATCGTCGTCGTCGTCCATCGTCGTCGTCCATCGTTAGATCGAAGTATAAGTATACTACGAAGGGGGCACTGCCCGGCTAGCAAAACTCTTCTACTAAAATGTACGCGCGTTGAGCACCCAAAGCTAACAGCTGCTCGCGCTTTACGTAGCGAATTGGAACGCCTTGGCTTGTCGTAAGAGATCGCTGTTTGGTACCACAGGATGCTTCGTTGAGGCTGGTTCGCATGCCATCCAATTTAGTAAGGCACAGAAGACTGAAGGGAGCACATACTAAGCCACTATCAATGTTTCTGTTCGCCCGGTTTCATAGCGGCGGTTTGCCGAAGTAGTTATCTCACGAATCGCGCAAAAATCAGCAGAGACAGTTGTCTCAATTCAAGTTTGCCTGGGTGGCTGACGTTTGCCATTTAAGGCAAGATAGAACAAAGAACATAACAGGATGTCTGACAGGACAAGCCGTCTTGATTCCAAAAGAAGTAAACGTCAGCCTTTTGAGGCTTGACTATGCTTACTCGGCAAAATGAGACACTCAGACGCCGTTTCTTCCTTGGGTGACGACCATAGACATCTCTCAATTCGCCGCGGGATGACAGATAGCCTTTTTCCGCCACCGAGGTTTGTTTTTGAGACTCGTATAGACAGCCCCCCGACTCCGAGATTGGTAAATGGCGAGCTGGGCTCATCCCACAGGATCTGACTCAAGTTTTCTTGGCACACTTTGTGCTGTTGATAGGGCGCCACATGAAAACCGTATCACCCACCAAACGACCATGGTTTGCTCATGGCTATGTGACTTGAGCGTTCGGTAACAAGGAGCCATCAACCATCATCTCGCCCTGATTATAAGACAGTTAATTATCCCCGTCATGGTCCATCGACATCCTCTTCTTCCATCACACTAACCTCAACCGCAATGCGTTTCACTACCCTCCTGATCTCTTTGGTTGCTGTGGCCAATGCGGCCGTTCCCAGCTGCTCGAGCTTCCCGAAATCTGTTGTATTTTCTCTCCTCCTGATGTTCAGTATTGCATGAAGCCTAATCAAAGTTCCCATAGTGCGTAACCACATGCATGCAAAGCACCGGCCTCGACAAATATGCATGCAGAAAACAGTGCCGCGAGACTAAGCAATCTCTCTGCTCAAAGAGCTGCAGCGCGCCCCAGACTCGCGAGCTTGCTCACGACGAATCCCTCGTTGAGAAGCGCCAAATTACTAGTCCGGTGCGGTATCCCATGCCCTTCTTGTTTAAGAGCAACACTGATCAATTCGAAAGTGCGTCGAGCTTTGTCTAGCCAGACCCGAATGTGCTGAGGCGCGGTCCGTCATAACAGGCGATGGCTCCGCACCGGCCAAGTCGTTTGCGAAGCGGCAGTTCTCCCCAGTAGGTCACCAACTCAGAAGTTTGAATATCCCGGTACTGAGACTTTTGAAAGTGCGTTCAGGCTTGCCTTGAGGAGCTCGGGATCTGGGATGGCAAAGCCCGTTCAATTTGCAAGAAACAGTGTGGCGAAGCCAGAGTCAAGAGAGAATCAGTCTCTGCCCCAGTGAGTGGCTGCTGCGGCGGCGGAGAAGCGACAGATTCAATGGTCTGAGGTATGTATCTCATTGATAGATGGAAAACTCAAGTAAGTGGCTGACGTTGTGTTAGTGTGTTCTTGCATGCGTAGAGGAACTTGGTATTCGTGATGGGAAGGGATACGTCTATTGCCAGAGACAATGCGGCGAGCGCGAATAGGCGCTGCTATTCCATCAGCGTTTAGAATACGACGGAATACTGGGAATGATTGGCCTGGAATTCTGTGCTCGATGGAAGTGGAATCGTGGTCAATATCACGGCTTCAAATATTATCCGCCCATTTGTGATGAGGCTCCATCGCAAGCATAAGATTGTTTGGTAGAGATTCCAGGTTACTTTGACAATACATGATGGATTTAGGTTTTGAGCTGAAATGTCACTAGTAAACTGTCTCTTACCTAGTGCTTCGCACTCACTGAACCTTGATACAAACCTTGCCAACATGTGCTCCAGTTGAGAGATACTCAAAGGCAGCAACCACCTCATCCCGCCCGAATCCGAATTCCTTCTCTACGGGAACCTTCAATCCGCGAGCCACCACGTATCGTGTGACCTCCTCCAGGTGCTGTCTAGATCCGACCATGATGCCACGAACAACAGCTCCCTTGGACAAAGCCAGGGCAGCCACGTCCGGCATGTGATCCTGGGGGCAAGACGCGAGGAAGCCGACCACGGCGATAGATCCTCCGCATGCAACGGCATTAACACTTTGGGCAATCGTTCCAGCACCGCCATTCCCGAGCATGAAGTCCGCTTCCTGGCCTTTGGTGATCTTGAGAACCTCATCAGACCAGTTAGGGTTCGACTTGTAGTTGATGACATGGTCGGCTCCATAGGTCTCTTGGACGTATTCCAGCTTGGAGTCAGAGGAAGACGTGATGATGGTAGTCGCCCCAGCGGTTTTGGCCAGCATCAGTCCGGTAATTGACACGCCACCAGTTCCTACAACGAAGTCAGTTTCGCAACACTCAATCCTCGCCTGGTAAAACTCACCGAGGCAGAGAACGGTCTGGCCCGGCTTAAGCACGGTGTTGCCGTACAGTGAGTTCCACACAGTAGAACCAGTGCACACTAAGGCTGACAGTTCTGAGTAGCTCAACTGGGAGTCCGATGGAACCTTGACCAGAGCTGACGTAGGCAGGACGATGTATTGCCTCAGAGCTCCATCAAAAACACCTCCCAGGCTATGGTTCCAATCTTTCATCGGGCCATAGAGGGTGCTGAGATCGAAAGCCGCGACAACGTTGTCTCCCTCAGCAAACCCGTCAACCTGTTGCCCAACTTTTATCACGTCGCCGGCGAGGTCGGAGCAAGGAACAACATTGTCTTTGACAGGGAAGGGATACTTTCCGCAACAGCGAGATCGCGAAAGTTGAGAGCAACACTACGAATGCGGATGAGGACTTCTTAGGACGAGGGCGAAGGAATAGGCTCGGTGCCAAGATGGAGGTCCTGGATGGAGTTGCGCTGAGGTAAACGGAAGACTTGCTAGGACGCCATTGTTTAAGTCGCGGAACCAAGTGTCAGGATGGGCGTTGCAGAGGTTATGATGTGAAAATGAACGGAATGTTCAGGTTATTGCTGTGGTTTCTCTCACCTTTGCGGGGCTTATGACCGTATTTGAGCTTCAGGCTTCGAGCTTCGACCACAGGCCTTACTTCATATCTGAGAGATGGATTTATCAGCAGCCTGTGGGAGATGTGGTAATTGGAGAGCCTAAAATCAATGGCTGAGGAGATTCGATCCATTAATCACCAAAAATTCTCAACTTTCTTTACTGTTCGCCTCGAATACAGTCGTTGCCCGGCTGGTATATTGGGCCGAGCGAAGCTTGACGTCACCGGCGAGCGCCAGAAAGGAATCATAGGAGTTGAATCAAGCTCATACCTCTGGTTTTGAGATTACAAATAAGCTCAGAAATCACTCATAAATTGGAGAAACCAATCGAATAGTCGTCTTCAAAGATTCGGGATCAGATGAAAGTCAGATGGATGAGGAAAAGCAAGTTTGAGATCGAATTTAGAGCGTGTGGGTCCAAGTATGCATCCATTGACAGTGTAGAGTCAACCAGTTGACGAAAGTGTAAGCGCAAGCGCAAGCGCCCTAGTGCATCGGGATGCTGGGGCGTACAAATGCAAATCCATGCAACGCGCCTGTTTGGTATGGAGATCTATATACCATAGGGAGAATTTTGGCCGTCTTGAACAAGGGGAAATTTGATGCGCCGGCTACCAAATCTCCAAACGGTTCCTCAAATCCTTCGTGTACATGTCACATTCAAGTCGCTGTTCATGCAAGTTTAGCTCCAGCAGACGCCGTGATTGTGTGGAAAGGCAAAGCCCCCCAAATGTGGTGACTTTTGATGCTTGAGAAACGGAATGTATTAAATACCTAATGAAAAAGTAAAGTATCTACCAAGGCACAGATGCCAATGAAAAAACTGTCTATCCCCACTAAATGAATTGAAGTAATCAAAGAAAAGTTTCCCCAGCATGTCTTTAGACAATGCTTGACTGCAGAATATCGTGCTTCTGCGGGCTTTCTTTTTGGTCAATGCCTTTTCCAACTTTTTAGTTGTACTTGTATACGGAAAGACGGTCTGGGCCACCGCACAGTTCACCAGAGTTACCGGTGCACTTGTAGTAGCACTGGCTCTCATCGGCAGCGTTCGCAGGCTCGCCGGTACCACAGAAGCACTCCTTGCCGAACTCAAGACCGAAGTACGTAGCGCCCTTGCCATTGTTGCAGAGGCTAGCGCACATCTCAACAGTCATGTTGTTGTCGTCAGCGAAGTGGTCACCATCCAAAGCACGGCCGCCGGGAGTCTCCTGGGCGCATTTGACGTATGAGTACTGGGAGGTAGAAACGGAGACAGCGAGAGTTCTGCCAGTGTTGTAGAGGTTCAGGCGGTCCTTTGCACCGCAAGTGTAAACTCCATTGCCGAAGCAGGGAGTGCCGCACTCGGAGTCAGACACTAGCTCGAGGTTGAGGGAGTAGGTGTTGGCGCAGTAGCACTCGTTGCCATTCTCGACACCGAAGTACTTGTAGTTGGAGCAGTAGGACCAGCACTTGTAGGCGTCCATGTCGTCGGCGGTGAGTCTGGAACCAGTCTCGAGGAGGCGTAGATTCTGTGTGTCCTTTGCGCAACCGGCGTAAGTGAAGGTGGCTCTGGGATCGGTTCTGATAGGTCCGGGGACGGTGCGGGCATAGATGTTGAGACGTCCACCCGAGCCACAGTAGCTCTTGGCATCTCCCGAGCAGCGCATCTGGCAGTCGGCCTCGGCAGCGATGCTGCCTCCGTGGATGGTGCTGCCGCAGTAGCACTCGCGGCCGTATTCCACACCAGCGAAGTTGAATCCCTTGTTGGAGCAGTACTGTCCACAGTCCTCAGCCTTCATGTTGTCAGAGGAGTACCCGTCCTCTCTGAGGGCACGGCCTCCATCACCCTCAGTGTGGCAGTAGAGATAAGTCCAGCCGCGATTGTACAAATCCTTCACGGAGGGTCCGCTGTAGCCGTCGGTTTGGTAGAGGTTGAGACGGCCCGGGCCGCCACACCTGGAGTGATCGTCCATGCCGTTGCAAGGCATGTTACAGTCGCCAGAATCAGCTGGGAGAGCAGAGTCGGTGAGGACATCACCGCAGTAGCATTCCCTGCCGTACTCGGTTGCGAAGTACACATAATCCTTGCAGAAGTCGGAGCACATCTGGGTGCTCATCGAGTCAGACGAGAAGCTCGCATCCTTGAGGGCACGGCCGTGGTCCCTGGGAGGCTCTGAGTAGCAACCCTTGTCGGCGAAGGTTCGAGCTTGAAGCTGTCCTCGGGGCTGGACCTGAACGGCAGCGGCAGACACCAGGGGTGCCATCAGAGGCATGGCCATAAGGCCGATGCGGGAGAAGGTAGCGAAAGACATGATGAAAACGAATGTTGACGTCCGAGTATTCAACTCGAGAAATGAGAGTGGTAGTGAGAAGGTGAGTAGGTGAGGTGATGAGTGGTGGTTATCTCGTCATTTTAGATCGGACATGCTGATGGTCTTAAATATCCCGGTATAGGATGATTTCAGAGAAAATTGTTATTGGGTTGGAAGTCGTCTCCAGCCCTGACTCCCTATCCGAAGCACCTGGGCTGGATTGTTCCCCCACATGTGCTGAGTGTCTGGGGCTGGAACAATTTGCCTCTTGGATTATAGGAATCTATTTCGACGCTAAGGATCCCAAGTGTTTGGTTTAGGTCCCTGGAAGCTTCCCCGCCCTATAGCTTGAAGATTCATCGTTGGGTTCAGCTTGGTTCCTTGTTGAAAGCCTTTCCTCTTTGGGGCAGCCCCCTCACAGCCCAAATTGTCACCACGAGTGGCAGCGGCGCCAACAAGCCGACAACAAGAGGCCTTGGAGCTAGCCACAACGCCCCCTAATCTCCACGCGAAAAAATCAACGGCAATGCTCGAAGAACGCAATCTGTGGGCTGCCGTGTGCCCAACAACGACTTTAACCATCTCGGGTATAGCTGCAGCCACCAACTTGAGCCAAGCTGCGTTAAGCTTGCTTGCCAAGACAATAAATTGTTTTTGAACGCCATGTCGGCTTTGGTGCCACGCGAGGCCAGAACTCGGCAAGTCAAGTCTGTCACTGCCGGTGATGATCATAGGGTCTGGCCCATATTTTTCTCTATTGCAACAACATTGGGGAAAACGAGCAAAGTGCCGAATTCCCAACCAACGACAACTTCAACTTTCATGAGCAGTCATGCCTCAATGGCTGCAATCTGTTCCGGTAACAGTTTCAAAAAGGATCTACTACCCAAGAATTATCCTGAAAAGTTAGAAACTACGTGCATGCATGACATAATTATGCCAAAGGCTGCCGGTCCTTGTCGTTACCAAGCTCTCGGAACATTTAAGCTTACCCAGAGTCCCCGCTTTACAATCAGGAAACTTACTTTTCAGCTCCGCGCGCGACCACAACTAGATGAACGCTATTGAGACAGTTCCTGGTCTGCCCCTGACTGCGCTAAAGATCCATCGTGAGACCCTGCGACTGTGCGTCGGACGGCGAATGTCGCTTAATTGCTTGTTTTGCGACCAGACACACGCCAACCCCGCGAGATTCATTGCGGCTCGTGAAGCCAGCATGGAAGTTCGCTGCCGCCGATTGGCTGGCTTACGCGGAAGAGGATGTTCTCTGCGCCCAACAGATTAGCAAGATACCATCGATGCCGTTGCCGTTCGGCTAAACGGCACTCTAAGGCGATAGTTCCTGGCTATGCAAATAGTGAGGAAAGGTCATATCCGGGGGACTGGGTTCTGCGATGAGGCTATTCTCAACAGAATTAGTCGATACTCAGTAGTAGTAGTAGTAGTAATTAGCGGGCAAGGGCCTTGGTGATTACGCGTCAACTGCCACTGGTAGTAAACTTGTGATGCTTCAGCCAGCCCTACAGAAAGGGGTCTGTCTTGGCAATGAACCCATATGTCTTGCGTTTCAACATTGTGAACGTGACTAGCTTGTGGAAATTCATCACCCGGCAGTTCCCCATTTCAAAAGTCAGTAAGCAACGGGTTCACGATGGCAAGCTCCCCAAATCCCCGTCTCTCAGAGCTTGAAGGAGTAAAGATTGCATCGCCGTCGACTGCATCTTACCATCACGGCAGCATGCGGGGTCTGCGAGGGATTTTCTCGTGTGCTTAAGCTACCTTGATGTGACCAGTATGGGCAATGTTAAGCGCTTTTCTTCCGCCGTTTCTTCCGTCTCCGTAATTGTTGTCCCGGGGTACCCCGCACGTTACCTTGTTTGGGGACACCGCATCGTGGGGAAATGCAACATTGTCATCACTCGGGACACGAGAAGTGCAGATCTATGTGGAGAAACTCGTGAAAGCATCCAAACCACGTCTTTTTCGGGGAAACAAGCGGAAAAGTCCGATCCAACCCCTCCATTAATTGCAGATTTTCCAAGCCCTACTGCAGGCCGTTCTTAATTTGTGGGCTCCAACCACCCGAGTCACTGAGTGGTGACCGCTCTGCTCACCAATTCAGCGGCCGAGACTCCCCGATTTGAAAGTACGGCTTTACGCGTATCTTTTGGCTTCCTTTTGGGCAGTTGCATCCCTTATGATTTCATCTGGATTGAATGAGGCAACTCGAAGAACTCGCCAAGTGTTGCATCCCATGGCAATTCTAGCATAAATAAGAGACGAATAGAAATGT